AACCTCGCTCCCAAGTATTTGAAACTGTCGACTTCTTCAAGTTGACAGCCATAAATCTCGAGAGGTGACTTCTCTTCGGTAGAGATACAGCATGAAAACACTTTGGTCTTCCCAGCATAGGAAACTTGCACCACTGTTTGATCGAAAGTAATGTATGGAGTAGACGGTGAAATTTCTCACGTTTATAATCTTTACTAATAATTACTCACTTTGAAAGCATGGTGAGAGCCCATCCGTCCACAACAATGTCCTGTGTTGCAGCCAGCAGAGTCAGTCCAAAGAATGCGACGGTGAGTCCCCAGATCTGCACGTCACCAGCCACCCCCAGTGGTCCCCAGTTTTGATCTGCTGGACGACCCAGCCAGGCGTTTACCCGGCCGGACAGAACAAAGAGGTCGATGCCGATGGCGTACTGGATGGGGATGAGCCAACTCTTCCGGCGACCCAGACGACGGAAGTAAACGGCGTCCACAATGGGTGCCCAGGCGAGTTTGAGGGAAAAGGGCCAGAAAACCCAGGAGAATATAGCCTGGTAGCGGTAGTTAGCGGTGTGTGTATCTGATTGTAGAAGGTAGGGAATCGCTGAAGCGAGGCCCAGAGGGATACCCTGTGGAAAGGGAAAGAAACAAGTAGGTCAAATTACAACTTCTGTGCCTAAATACCGAAATATAAAATAGGCCCCTATAATGCAAGTTACTACCAGACAGACTCCTGGGCGCTGATATACAGAAAGTTCGGGGGACGGGAGGGGGGAGGCTTAGCTTAACTTTTGTCAGGAGAATTTCCCAATTATCAACAGAAAGGCAGGTAGCAAGCTACTACTGTTTACTAGTGGTCTGAAAGTGCGCGTGACTGGCTGTATGGATGATTTCTGTGGCGTTTTACTCGAAACGCCAGGATGTAGACTTAAATACGTTCTTGACTCGATGCTAGAGAACGTATCCAGTTTTGTGTTCGACAAGGGTGCATCATGTCGCCTATTATGTTTAACTACGCCATTGACTCGTTTCTCGGAAAGGTCCTACATAAAGAGGACGGTGTTGAACTTACACTCAGAAGTCGGCTGACTGATCTCGACTATGCCGATATCGCCCTGTTAGCCTCAAGCTTTGGTGATTTACAGTATACGGTGTTGTGGGTGAATAACATCGCTATGTCGGTTGGCTTGTCATAAATAGCGGGAAGAGCGAATTATTCTCGAGCTGCATCCCTGAACAAAAGAAGGAACCACTGGAAATTAATTGTCTTTAACTTGAAGAAGTAGACAGCTTTAAATGTCTCAGGGCAAGGCTACTACCGAATGACAGAGTAAAGACGAAATTTCCTTCCGAAACGCTGCTGTCCGCCGGGTTTTCTCAGTCCTCCGAAAGCGCCTATGTGTCTGACACGACATTTTCATTACCACGAAATTTCATGTGTACCACGCATCTTTCCGGTCCGTTCTCTTCTACGGATGTGAATGCTAGACTTTGCGCGTTGAAGATGAGCGAAAACTTGAGGTAGCTGATCACAAATGCCTGAGTACTTTACTTCAAATAAACTATACCGACTCCTCGAGTGAGAAAGTCCGCATGCGATGCGACGGTATCGCGAATATATCTCAGGCCATCCAAGAAAGACGACTGAGGTGATTTGAGCACGTTCTCCGTGGTTCGGATAAAGAATTTTGTTATGCTGCTGCTCTCGATTTGACGCCGCAACCCACCTGGAGACATCAAAGTGGAAGGAAACTCAACACTTGGTTCGAGTCCGTTTGTGGAGACATGGAAGCAGTTCTTTGACCTCCAGTTTTCGGTCTCCATCGTTGGAGAATAGACTGGGTGGAGCTTTCCAGATCCGTTGCCACTAATCATCACCTGTAGGAAGGTACCATCCGTGACAGCATTGAGGCTAGCTAGACCAGGCATGACCAGAGTCGTATCAAGTAAGATGTAGGCTCCACAGAAATGTAATGGCACAAGGCATCTTTAAATACTGCTATCAGCCAGTTCGATCATGCGTATCACCCACGTAGATAAATGTGTGAAAGCGGACACTAACCCTACGTCTTATTTCCACGCAGGGGGGCATGCTTTTGATTATTTGGCATAGCAAATCAATTATCAAGGATGTACCTCAAACCCAATAGGCTCGGAGTCTACCTATCCTCAATGTACTTGCGACTTTGGTTATCAGAATAGATGTAACTATATATATGATTCAGGTTAAGTCTAACAAGGGCTATTGTCTTCCACTTAAGTGGGTTGGACGAGAGCGGGCTAATAGAAATTGCTGATCACAGAGCCGCACACGTCGTTAGCTATCCGCAAAACCAACATAATACCTCGAATAAATTTTACCTTGGATTTGACGAGGCGCAAGATAAAACATGTGGATTTGACGGATAGGGTGAGTATTAATTAGGGTTTGCATTCCGGACGCGATCTATAAAGGGATTGGGAATCATCGCCGGTGCACTCCTATGCAGCGAAACCTGCCTGAGTATGGGGCAATATTGCTTGTATTTTAAAAAAGGATAGTCTCTGTAAAGCTTCATACGCATCCAGGGTTTGTTTTCTGTTCTATATTACACTGATTTCGGATATTTCGATGGAACTCGGGGGGAATAATGCATATTTAATCGATCTAATACAGAAAGTGTAGATCTAGATAGTGCAAACAGAGCCATATTGTGCGCGGAAACCGCAAAGATATTGCCCACAATGGAACCGGAATTAGTTGCTCCACTAAGCTGGCCGCCTCGCGACTAATTTGTGATAGGAGACTGCAAGCCCACAAATGGACTCTTCAGTACCGAAATGCCAGCATAAGGCGCACAATGTACGCTGTGTGACCCAAGGCAACACCGGAGTGGTTTGCCAAATCATGCTGAAGAATCCTGTTCTAGAAGTGAAATAGGAATCAGTTGAAGCATTCTACATGTCATTACTCTTTGCTGTTCGACAGGTTTGATTAAACTGCAGCAACCATAGTGGTTTGTCATCACTTCGGCACTATTTCTGCATATTCAAATGCAGCGTTATAAACCTACGGACGTGGGCGGCTGGCAACAACGACAATACTCAATAATTTAATAAAGAGAAAGAGGCATATCCACGACCTCTTCTTTGTCAGCACATCACAACGCAAACACAAACCGATGCTCCAGAAGAGTTTCAACGACGTAAAGACACTTTTTGTTAATTATCGTAACAATAACTATGCCTCGATTTACAAGTGCGAGCTTTCATATAAGCTAAGTTTGATGGACGTATAATTGGTCATTATACATTGACTGTTACTGGAAGACAAATCACCAAGCACCTAGCTGTTTTTGGCCTGCTATTGCACGATGAGTCTTTGCAGTCAAAAAGGGAACGAACTGCAGTTAAACGCGTGTAT